GTATCGCTGAAGTTCCTCGGAAAGAATTTCTACCGGGAATTAACAATCAAGCAGATACGTAACAATAATTTGTGAAGTTTAGAAGTCTCGTGAAATTTAGGCCTTTATGGGATCTCGAACGATCGTGTAATAGTGTGCAATATAAAAACGGCAGACGGGTGAGTTAGAATTAATCAGTTAAAAAATTATTTAGAAAGGTCGAATTAGTCTGTGATTCCATTAAGCTATTCGTGAATGATTCAATGATAAAGTTATTTGGTTATTGAACTAACATAAAGTTAATGGGCCAACTAGCATGTTTATTGTCCATCAGTTAGCGAGAAAATTTTACAAATAAGTGACGTTAGATTTATTTGTGAGTTAGGATAAATTAGTTTCAAAATTTTTGCTGTAATTTAGCTCTTGCTGTACTTAAGATAAACCCATGGAACTAAGAGAGTAACACGTTTATTCCTCTATAGTGCAGAAGATGAGTGAACCAAATGTGACTGATACAAACTGGTATTAAAACAACCTTCTTTAAAACGACTTCTATAAAAGATGGAAATATTAGTCCTTAAGTTACTATTATTTTTTCTCACATTCAGAGAAACGATGAATGTTAAAATAGTGAATAATGTGTTACACATACTTTTATACAACTAGATCTTTTAGTTATTTTCCTTTAATCGAAAGACAAAATAGAGATTATGTAATTTTTTAATATTTCAAAGCACTATATATTTTTCAAAATGGCTTTTATCGATATTCTTTTACCTTAAAAAACGTAGGTTTTGGGTAATATATTGATGTATTTCATATTTCACTCATTAGAAAAACAGCTGACAATGAACTAACACTTTCAACAGAAAATAATACAAAACTAATGGACAACGTATATAATAAATTCTCTATATCCGGTTGCTGTAGATTTTATAAAATACATTCACTAACACAATGCTTTAGGTCTATATTTGGAATAAAACCACGATAATTTTGTACCTTATCATATATCATATGTTAT